GGGGGAGGGCAACGGCAACGATGGCGATGGGGGCACCACCATGATCACCTCGCCGCAGCGTCCACTTTGGTCTTGAGCTGGATGTTGTTGTGGTGTACTTTCTTGTGTTGTTATGGTGCATTGTGTTATAACGTTAGTGACAATGTGCACATTATCCATCTCCACGGCTCTCGATACGGGTAATGGAGGCAGTATTGCCGTCGACGGCAATTGTGCTAACGATGGCTCTGGTCGAGGGTTCTTAGGTGGCCTGCCGCGTTTGGGTCGCAGTGCCCGTGCCGAGCCAGTCAGCATGTGCAGTGGGACGTGCTGCTTGATACGTGCGTTCAGATGTTGAAGAGTCCTACCAACGTACCGACTACCGCATTGTCGGCACTCAAATTGGTATACCAATTTAGATGCGAGTTGGGTTGGTAGGACATCCTTCCTCACCGTGAACGCACGTCCGTCCGTCCGTCCGTCCGTCCGTCCGTCCGTCCGTCCGACGCACGTCCGTCCGACCACGTCTCTATGGGCTCCCAAAAATACATAAAGCGAACTGTCCGTTGCGCCCCATATTATCCATGGTCGCATCACCGCAATATAATATCTCTAAATGGCTGTGTGGTTGGCTTGACATCGTGCAAAAGTTCTATTGCAAACATACAGTTAAAGACACCTTCGAATTCATTGACGTCCTTCGCTCCCACCCAGTTCCGGCCTCCGCGCATATGTGCTCGTTTGATGTTGTGAGTCTATTCACGAACGTTCCGTTAGAAGAGACTATCAATATTTGCCTAGATGTGTTGTACCGAAATGATGAAGTTGATACGCCGTGGATATCGGAGACGGCATTCCGGGAACTGATGTTGCTCGTGACGACTGGTGTGGAGTTTTCCTTCAGTGACATTATGTATAGGCAGGTTGATGGGGTAGCCATGGGCTCCCCATTAGGTCCAGTATTAGCGAATGTGTTCGTTGGTTACTGCGAGTCACTGATTGCAGAACAGTTGTGGCCAGCATTGTACGTTCGTTTTGTTGATGATTCCTTCACCTGGTTCGATTCTCTTGAAGATAGCCAAATCTTTCTTGGTATTCTAAATGACCTACATCCTTCCATACGCTTTACTTGTGAGCACGAACAAGCGAACAAACTTCCCTTTCTAGACGTCCTTGTGGAAAAGTCTAGTCAGGGTACAGTAACATCTGTGTACAGAAAGCCTACATTCACCGGCCAGTACATAATGTTTGACTTGTATTGTTCGTACCAATACAAGGTGAATTTAGTGCGTAACTTGGTGGATCGAGCAAACCGTATTTGCTCATCTTCCAAACTGGCGGAGGAACTGGACTTCCTAAAGTCAGTTTTTCTAAAGAACGGGTATCCCGACGATCTCTTGAAGGAGCTCATGAGCGAAAGGCTGCATAGAAAGGAAATTCGTTTTGGCCCGGACAAATGTCCCACGTATCTTTCTCTCCCTTGGAAAGGTAACCTCTCATTATCCATGAGTCGCGTGGTCCGCAAAATTGTACAACAAACGTACTACGCGGTACATTTGGTACCCGTTTTCACAACTGTACGTGCGTTCACGGTGAGGAAGGATGTCCTACCAACCCAACTCGCATCTAAATTGGTATACCAATTTGAGTGCCGACAATGCGGTAGTCGGTACGTTGGTAGGACTCTTCAACATCTGAACGCACGTATCAAGCAGCACGTCCCACTGCACATGCTGACTGGCTCGGCACGGCACTGCGACCCAAACGCGGCAGGCCACCTAAGAACCCTCGACCAGAGCCATCGTTAGCACAATTGCCGTCGACGGCAATACTGCCTCCATTACCCGTATCGAGAGCCGTGGAGATGGATAATGTGCACATTGTCACTAACGTTATAACACAATGCACCATAACAACACAAGAAAGTACACCACAACAACATCCAGCTCAAGACCAAAGTGGACGCTGCGGCGAGGTGATCATGGTGGTGCCCCCATCGCCATCGTTGCCGTTGCCTCCCCCAGAACCGCCACCTGCATCTGCCATCGGCAGTGCTGGGGCTGAGTCTGTGGTGTCGCTGGCACGGGCAAATATGGATGAGGTAAGCACTGAACATGAACTAGAAGAAAGAAAGCTGAAGGAAACGGAATTCAACAGAGAAAACAACACGATCAACATTCAAAGACCTAGACGATCAACGGCTAATTATTCAATGAATTATTACAGTACTGGATGTCAAGCACCGGCGAAGACACTGGGAACAGAAGATTTGGCAACAACAGGAACAACAACAATGACAACAACAACAATGGTAACAAATTACCATCAAGATCAAAGGAGGAGTCAACGAACAGAGGTTCAGCAACGTGAAGCGAGCCTGGGACCGATCGGTGGTGATGAGGAGAATGACACGGAGGACGACACTGAGGACGAGTTGGAAGATGAGACGGGGGACGAGGTTGCGGTTGGTGGAGACGAGGAATCGGATGGTGATTGTGATCGTAAGAAGTCTGCCGTTTTTTCTTCATCTGTTGTCTCACCCTAAGTGTCTGCAGGTGTATGATGATTTTAGTTTTTCTGTTCTTTGTCGTGCACGGTACGCTAGTCAGTTGAAAGTACTTGAGGCTGTTTGTATTCGTTTGCATAAGCCTGATCTTTGTAAGCAGAAGAAACATGTAGTTGCGTTAAGATTGTTTTCGTAGGTGCACAGCATGATTGTTTGTCTAACTACACAGTTCTAGCGTTGCAATTAGTTCCTCACCCCTGTTGCACTTAGCTCTCACTTTACTTCTATTGTCTCACCTTCCCTCATTCTATTTTTAGCACTTTGTTTTGTTCTCGTAACACATTTATTAAATGTATATAAATTATTGATTTGGCATGGTTATTCTTCAGTCACGGCTTTCCACTGATGATTGTGACAAGAAAATCGATTTTGGTAAACCTTCATGACTTTGTTGTAGTGTGGCGATGACAGCAGAATTTGTTCTCTTTATAGCTATTATAAAATTATTATTATTATTATTTGAAACTCCTTTTTTTGGGGATTCTTTGTACTTCGTCTTTCTTGTTTTTCTTGTTCCTTTGTTTTTTGTAGGACAGATTTTTGGTGTACTGATTTCGGTTGTTGTTGTGTCTGACTCTATTCCCAATATCTAATTCTGTGGTTGGTTTTCCAACTCATTGGGTTGTAGTTTCCATCATGAGTTTGATTCCATCGTGAGTTTTGATTCTATTTGCTATTTTTCGTTCCATTTTTGAGCTCATATTTTATTTTCCTGATTTCTTCTCCAGTGTATGTTGTATTGCATTTTAATACATTGTGTTAATTTTTGCCCGTAAAAGAGGCTTGCACTTATTATTTGAAACTCGGGTATTGAGCCAATAATAAATGTAGAAAGGAATGTAGTTGTTGCACTTTCTGACTATAGACCTAGTTACAGTGGTGGAGAGTTACTCTTAACTCGTTTCCATATGTCCTTTTCCTTTCTACATTTATTATTATTATTATTTTTTCTTATTTTGTTAGGGATTTCCCAACAGGCAATGTTGCCTTTTTACTGGGAACCCTAAATGAGACTTTGTGTGAGCGCGAAACAAAGCAGGCGACTCGGCCAGGCGACAAGATGGAGGCAGCGCATTCCACCTGTCGGCACCAAGATACGCAATTGAATGGAAACCATACCGGGAGTGGCAGGCAGGCAAGACAAGAGCAGCTGTAGCTTGGCCCCGGGTTGTGGCAGCAGAATGTGGGCCAGTGCAGCGGGGAGTGAATAGGAGGCTGAGAAGTGGGCTAGATAAACCATGCAGACAGCGAAAGACAAAGACGTATTGCTTGAAATTTAAGCGTTGCTCTAGTGTGTAGATCTTGGTGTAAGCGTACAGTGTCTCAGTGGGAGTTCTGCGGTCAAGGGCAAATATTCTTTTAAAGACTAGTACGGCTGGCTGTGATCAGCTGGTTGTATGAACGGTGAGATAGACAGTTAATGTAGGCAGAGCTAGCATACTCAAGGGTAGATTGAATAATAGATAGATAGAAAAGACGACGCGCTCTGTGGTTCAGGTTCTGCCTGGCATGCTTGTAGGCTCCGACCTTCTGCTTGACGGCAATGCAAACTCGCTCTACTTGAGCATCGAATGCCAAGTGCTCATCCACAATGAGGCCCAGGTATTTGGCTGTGTGCGCAGGATAGAGAGTGGAGTTGCGGCATGATATGGACACAGTGGTGGGTAAGGGACTAGTTGGGCGACGTAATAGTAGAAATTGTGTCTTATCAGGGTTGAGAACCAGTCCCTTCCCTGTAAGGTAGCTGTCCAGAGGAGCAAGGACTTACGGGGGTCGCCATGGCAAATAATAAAATAGTAAAAATGAGCTAGTGTGGCTGTGAAAACAGTCTATATGACAATATTCAGTCAGCCATGGATGCCTCCGCAGCGACCACAGCTGCAGATGACGCGGATGACGCGACAGGAGCATGGGCAGAAAACATGGATCGGCTACCACGCACACACATTACACTGGCCCGTATTCATGGTATTAGCGCTACGCTAAGACGACACCGGATGAACGCCATGGTGAGGGAGTAGGACTCACCGGTCTTCTCTGCAAGCAACATAATGTAATGTACGTCACAGGTTCATATAATTGTTTTATTATTCATGCCAGGGAGTAGAAAAAATACCGGTATTTTACTACTCCCTGATTCATGCCTTTTGCGCTCTTGGCCGATCCAAACTCTGCACTCACATCACCATCACCACAGCGAGGACAATTCCGGTATTTAGAAAAGCGATCCTGTCAGCTTTTCTATTATTGTGTTCACATGGCGCTACCTAACGACACCGCTATTCAGACACGTTGTCTACGTAGCTACGTAAGTTTCTACGTAAGATGCTCGGTACCTGGTCCTGGACCAGGGAGCTACTCCATGGCTCCTACCGCTACCATCGCGCGGCCGGCTGGCCGCATGCGTGTGCATTGCAGACTTTTTGTTGTTGCCTTTTCGGATGTGCATGCACGAGGTACTTCCTTCTTTGGAACTGCTTCTTGCATGAGCTGTTTCGGATATTTCGTCTCCTGGCCTGGCTTATTTCGTTTCGGCGTTGCTGAGACCTCCTTTCGCGGAATATTACTCAAGGACAGGTGAGTTGAACAGTTCCCTTTGATACATTTGCTTGTGTTGACTCTTTCATTTACGAAAAGTGTGCTGATTTTGGGCGGAATGCAATAAATAATGGAAAAGCTGACAGGATCTCCTTTCTCAATTTAGCTTTTCCGCTGCCGAGGCCTCCTTTTACCGAATACTCAATGACAGGTGATCTCTGAGTTGACCAGTTTCCTTCGATTCATTTGCTTATGCTCACCCTTTCATTTACGGAAACGTGTGCTGATTTTATTCGGATTTAGATCCATTTTTATCTCTTTGCCCTTGCCTACAGTGTGCGAAGAACGCGAGTTCACCTTCTTGACGGTAAGGCTTATGTTGCTGCTGAGGCTTTAATAGATGTGTTGTCGAAATACTCATGTTCATTGTACATTGGTACGTTACTTGAAGTAAGGCACTGGTCAGTGGCATACTATCGTTGGCAGTTCCCAATTTGGAGGGAAAGGTTCAAGGACCCATTGACCGAGTATGCAAAATAAATTCGCATATCAGGGAAAATCTCCATTATGGAGAGGTTCAGTGACTTGTTTGCTTCATACGAAACAAGCCAATGGGTGCAGTCTCGCCTCGTGAAAATCTCGTACTTGTATGATTGGATTTGTTTACTCGAGTCTGGGCTGTTCGATTTGTGAGTACCGCCGAGATTGCACTGCCCCAAATAAAGTTGCGTGCCGCCAAAGTAAAAAAACACGATCTGCAATCTGTTTGTAGTACCTGCAAGAATGTGCTGTACATGTATCGTACTTTCTCTGTTGCTGTTTCAGTTGCCGTCATGTTGCTAAAGAAAGGTTCAGTGACTCATTTGTTTCATACGAGACGAGTCGGTGTGGCTTAGAATCCTTCGCTGTAGAAAAATCTATTCGTACATGTATGTCTATTGGAGAAATGTATTCACTGGTTATAAAATAGGTTAAGACAAACTTACAGAAAAAATACCATCGGTCCCTTGGTGTTCGTCCTAAAGAGGTTCGACTGGATATCATTCATACTCACGGCAAAAAATGTGTAACATTTTATTATTATGGAGTGCCTTGTTTATCTCTCAGTACCTCCAGGGTACCCTGTAAGAAGGCCTCAGGCTTGCCCCTTTTATCCTCAGGATCAGTGTAGTTGTTGGAATGAGGTGCCGGACTCAACAATGTATTTGTTTACATTTTAATACATGTTTATTGTTCCTCCTCCTCCTTTGCTGTGTTGTGTTAGAAAATCGCGGACTAACAGTTTGAAGTCATTGAACTACTTCCAAGAGTTGTATCGACATCAACAGGATTACGATTTCAGTGCAATATGATGCAGGATGACCTTATCACGATAACCAATAAACACAGAATCAACCATAACATCTGTGACACGCACCTACATTTCTCAAGTATATCTGATCGAGGGTGGGGAAATCTGAAATATCTGAAAGGCAAGACAATTTTATGACAGTCATGAAATTCTGCAACAGCAACATGCACAGAATGACCTGCGTATAAAAAAAGACTCACCACCACTAACCACATGTTTCCCCAGCAGAAGAACATGCGTTGTGCTAGTGCCATTTTCTGCAAGAAAAGGCTGCAGCAATAAATACGGTATTGATATGATGTGAAGGCCATCATTTACACATATTGGGCATTCCATTGATTGGTGACAGAAAAAACAAAAGAAATTATAGCAATAAAAACTGCTTTATGGCAGCTTTCTAAAAAAGTTATTGTGTTCTAGTCCTGGGTCGACCGGTCCGGCATAGGCTATAGAAAATTTGTAAAATTAATTGCTTATCAACTGGCTTGGACTCCGTCTAAAATAGGCCTTGACAGATTATGCTAATATTTTCGTGAAATTATGCTTTTCGCATTGCTGAAAAAATTGCAGAATTATGCTATTATTATGCGAAAAGTTATCATATTATGCGGCATTATGCTCACATATGCTGCTAATGTATATGATGGTTCTGTGCAAAATAACAGGTGAATTTTTTGTAGAGGGCGTTGTACTGTAGTAGCAAAAGTTCAACGGGGTCAACGCACCGTCCGACCTAGCTATGACCGTCACCCTGGTCACTGATTGTAGTGGACTGGACATGTTATCAAGGGAGTCGTAAACCTACGACTTCCTGGTGTGTCTACTTGTACTTGTACTTGTAGAACATGTACAACTGTATGGAATTTGATGCGAACAGGCGGATTAGTCCAATTTTATACGATTCGTATGCAATTTGCCTCGAATCATGCGATTACTCGATTTTGGTAGGAATTATGCGAAAAATTATGCTAGCATAATCTGTCAAGGCCTAGTCTAAAAAGTAAGAAATTAACGAAATGTGATTGCAGAAAATTAAAATTTCACACAAAACCTCACAATAATCACACACAGGATGAAAAGCTAGAAGACCTTTTCCCTTCGTGATCCTCTTTCCCATGCATGCATGTTGGTGCAGTACAAGTGCAGTGTCAGACTAAACAAGTGTTGGAAGCAGTACAGTATTTTGATTGTCAAGTGTTGTGATTATTGTGAGGTTTTGTGTGAAATTTTAATTTTCTGCAATCACATTTCGTTAATTTCTTACTTTTTAGACGGAGTCCAAGCCAGTTGATAAGCAATTAATTTTACAAATTTTCTATAGCCTATGCCGGACCGGTCGACCCAGGACTAGAACACAATAACTTTTTTAGAAAGCTGCCATAAAGCAGTTTTTATTGCTATAATATAGATTGAATCCATATAAAAACCGCTCTGTGAGCGGTTCTGAAAAACCTTTACTGGTACTGCCCCGTCGTAAAAGTAAGAAATTAGAACTGGCCCATTGTCCCCCAAAATGCGAACTGATCCACCTAAATCGCGAATGACGGGACCCGAACGCACCAGTAGCACGAGGTCGGGAGGGCACAGGACAGCAATTATCATAGGGTAACACCACCTACCGCTAGTACAGTACATGGCCTATAGTCCGGACCAACGTCCCCATCTGCATCCACAGGTAGGAACCTCGTGCTACTGGTGCGTTCGGGTCCCGTCATTCGCGATTTAGGTGGATCAGTTCGCATTTTGGGGGACAATGGGCCAGTTCTAATTTCTTACTTTTACGACGGGGCAGTACCAGTAAAGGTTTTTCAGAACCGCTCACAGAGCGGTTTTTATATGGATAATTTCAGTTCTTTTTCCGTTCCCTCCCCACCCCAACCCCGAAGGTAAACATGATGACCACGCGCGCGATGTACTGTATGTAGCCATGAGACTGCAATAACACACTGATACATACCAGCCCTCCCCGCCTCGCTACCCCGCACACAGATACACAAACATGCGTACACACGGCACACACACGTGGCCACGCACATGCACACGACACAAACAGGGAATTCTTCATATATAATGCCATGCAAAGCAGTGGCCACCGTACTTGAGGAAGTCAGTTGTGAAACAAAATAATTCAACTACAGTCAACTTCGCTAATAACGACTGCGGATATAACGACAATTCGCGAATAACGACAGAATTTCCATGCCCAGAGCAAAGTCCCATCCAACTGTAATACAATCATATGATGGGACTTCGGGTATAACGACACTTCGCGAATAAGGACACTTTTCTGATGCCCCGCCGAGTGTCGTTATATGCAAAGTTGACTGTACAATGTGTAGACAAGCTGACGGCCAAAGCACAACATAGCAAACATGACATTTGCTCAAGGGTTGCAGTTTGCAGACCACGCCATGGAAGCAGCGAATACAGAATGTAATATCGTACAAAGTGACAAGCAAGGAAGTGGCCACCATACACCAGAAACTTGCAGAAAGTCACATATCCAACAGATAGAGAAGTGAACAGCAATCTGGTACAGCCCACACAAGACAAAGCTGACCTGATACTCGTCCCAGGATCATAAGTGGCAGATCCTTTTCAATGCATAACATGCAGGTGTACGTTACACGCATGGACAAAATCTGACCGTGTCGCCAGCACACAATGTCATCACAAGTATACCCCACAACTTACACACATGCACAGTAGAAGCACAATGAAAGCAATGGATTAGTACGATGTGGTTGCTGAAGCATCTTCACACTTCAAATTCAGACTTCAATGTGGTCGTCACAGGATGATATACCTGCAAGATACAAGTGATGCAGAAAGAAAGCAGAAGGTCGTGAGGTGGGACACCCGCACCCGCACAAACGGGTCACCTACATGACTGATGATTGTATGTTCAGGGCTAGTGCACTCACACGCAGAATTATCATATTCGAGCATTTCCCAAACTGAGAAGTGCAATGAAATCCACTTGCATGCAGAGGAGCAATTTTGCAGTGTGATGCGTAATTTGACACGATCTGCGATGCTGCGTGCGATGCAAACTCGCGCAAAATATCATTCACGGAATGACTGCAAGAGGTCAGTGATGCAACAAAGCCCTGCTGATATATGTCTCAAAGCTCAATAAGAATGCGTTTGTTACCATGGCACTCGCATAGCCGGTACAACTGGTACAAAGGTGCAAGCAATTCATGAATCTTTCGTCTCGTCTCCTCAGATAACCACTGCAAGGCTGCGACGACAACATTCGGCCTGACAAGGTGCTTCCAGACAATCTTCGCACTGGTTGGTACACAGTTCACTATGATGTTTGTATTGTCAGCACACAAGTCATGCATGAGACGCGGGTTGCCGTCAATTGGCAATGGAAGGTGGAGTATTTTGTTCTTGGCACCTCACTCGCTTTGAATGCGGTCGACTGCCATGCTTTGTGTCTAGCTTGTAACATGTCTGGAAGGGTTCCACTTTTTGAATGAGTAATTTTTCGAATGAGTTTACTCGCGACAAGCACTAGGGTACAGGGTGAAGGTGCAAGTCATTGAGAACGCAAGATGGCGGCATGCTGTCTTTCTTCACGTACAGTTTGCAAACCCTGCAAATGAACATCGCGTCAGTAGCGTGAGTGAGTACAATGCGCTGTCGACCTGATAACGTGTTGAATGATACAGGTCTGCTCTCGATATAACAACTCTCACTTGTACATAAACCTCGCCAGTACATAAAAAAATCAAATCCCGCGCCGAAACAGCATCACTCCCATACAAATTTTGTTCTACACAACATAATCCTACATAACATAAACCTCGACATAACACACGCTACGGCGGTCCCAGACGTGCGCACTCTCGATACAACATAAATTCACTTGCACGGTACGATCAAGCAGTAGCTGTATCCTGGTATCTAGGCAGTTTCTGAGACCAGTTTGTTCCTACATAACGTAAACCTCGGCATAACGCCCCCTACGGCGCGGTCCCCGACGTGTGCACTCTCGATACAACGTAGATTCACGTGCGCGGTACAATCAAGCTGTAGCCGTAGCTAGCCAATGTAGTCCTATTGTGCATATATTCTGCGGCATTGATGGTATCTGATGTGGATGGTGGTACACCGTACAGTGTGTATATGTTTGCACGGTTGAACCCGCCTTGTAATACCCTTCATTTTGAGGTACATCTTGTATTTTACATACGGTTTTCTACATAACATAACTCTCGATATAACATATTTTTTCCGTGGTCCCAGAGATTACGTTATATGGAGAGTAGACCTGTAACAGGTATACCGTCCCACCTAACCGTATACGCGTACCCTTCATCATTCCTCATTCACCATCGCGCGATACCCTGGCACACACTGGCAACATATCAAGGGATGCCTTACCGTCGTCTAGAGGGGACGTCTTCGCAGCAATGTTTTTCGTCCTGCGCATTCAGTCCGCCGACACGACAGAGTTTACGGGCCCGTTCCAGTTGCAGAAGACATTCGATTCATCGGGCCAGTGCAGCAACAGGTCCGTGGGCACACCGGGGCAGAGGAAAGACATTGTGAGTGGACAAGAAATATGCAGTGGCAAGTGCCATGAATGTCAAGTTCTCATTTCTAATTGAGCTATTACTTACAGTCCTGCCATTGCTCGCTCGTCCTGATTCCTCCTCGTTCGTCTGCATCCACTTCTGCCGTTCTCCTCCCCGTCACGGCGTCAGGTCAGTGCATTCTCATTAATTTCTCAATGGCAGTTTTCGGGACGGGGGTACCGGAAGGAGTTCGCACGATGCCTCCAAAGGCCTAGAGCGGACGTCTTTGCAGCAATATTTTTCGTCGGTGGATGGGACAGCGTTTACGGGGCCGTTCCAGTTGCAGAAGACATTCATCAATGGCACTTTGCGGTACGGGGGTACCGGAAGGAGTTCGCACCATGTCTCCTAGAACGGACGTCTCTGCAGCAATATTTTTCGTCCTGCGCATTCAGCCCGCCGACGCGACAGCGTTTACGGGGTCGTTCCACTTGCAGAAGACATTCATCGATCATCAATGGCACTTTGCGGTACGGGGGTACCCGGAAGGAGTTCCCACGATGTCTCCAAAGGCCTAGAGCGGACGTCTTTGGAGCAATTCTTTTTGCCCTGCGCATTCAGTCCGCCTATGCGACAGCGTTTACGGGGGCGTTCCAGGTGCAGAAGACATTCATCAATGGCACTTTGCGGTACGGGGTACGGAAAGGGGCCTCCTCGTTCGACTTCTGCAGTTCTCCTTCCCGTCAGGGGTACCGAAAGGGGCCTCCTCGTTCGTCTTCGTCGACTTCTGGCACAAAGCAGACCGCTGACGGGGTCACGTGTCAACAAAGTATCAACAACGTGTCGACAATGTATCGACCACGTGTATAGCGGTACACTCAGCGCGCGGTACACTAATTCTCGCGCCATTCTCGTGTCACAAAACTGGAACATCGAGTACCAGTATGGAAAGGCTTCAGACGTAGACAGGAAGCCTTTCGGTCTAACTATACTACTCCCTGGTTTGGCGTCATTTCGGGAATAATTCCACCTTTCGACCTTTTGACCTTCCCTAATATGTTGCTTCGCGCTGTAAGAAATCAAATATGGCGCGCTCTGTCTGTCATGATCATGATGGCTGAATCTTGCCCTTGCCTGCAGACCTCCTGAGCGTGCTTGATTACATACAATAATTATACCGATAACCCAAAGCGTATTTCTTGTAGCTGTGCGGCTCCGGTCGGCTAGTCATGCCTGATTCCGTTCTCTGTTTCTCCAAAGAGAGCAATGCCGTCGAGTCATTTTCGTCTGCTGCCGCCTTTTCTCCGGCGTCGGAGGAAAGGGATCACGGGCTGCCTGTTGATGTCAGCACTGCTCGCTTATTTCGCAATGGACACCTCGAAAAAAATAACGCCTGGATATCATGACGGTTCGGTCACAATATCTTCTACTAGTTCTAGCCTTGGGACACGCCTTGAACATGGTAGGCTAAGGAGAGAGGATTCTACAACATCTTCGACACGAAGTGTTGCAGCGCAGAACGGTGAGGCTACAACATTCTCCTCTTTCCTCTTCAGTGATATGCACAGTCTACTGCCAGAGGCTACACCATCTTCCAGTCTTGGTACACGTCCGGGACCGGGCACACCGCCGGCGACCACACATACTGCAGAAAATATAAAGCAGAACGGTGGGACCACAGCATCTTCTAGTACTAGTAGCGGTACACATCCAGAACTGGGTACAACACCGTCGACCACACATGTGTCAGCAGCTATTAAGCCAGAAACCTTTGTATACCTGATCACCGGTAAGGGCGAGCCGAGTCCACGCTGGGTGAGGCGCTCGACGTGGCAAAACGTCACAGTCATTTATCTATCCTGGCGTGATGATTTTACGACGTCAGCCAAGTACTCGGGGCCAAAAGTCAAAAGTGAGAAGTTTGTACCGCTGTTTTACCCCAAATCCACCTGGACCACAGGCAGAAACAAGCAGGTGCAGGTAGCCTACCAGCTAGAAGAAGATCAGGGCTGGCGTTTTGAGTTTCTACTCTACTTCGACGAGGATGTGTATTTCTCGCAACGTCTGGCATCGAATCCGGCGGAAGTGATAACGAACAAGTCCAGTGACGACGCACAATTGCTCTGGCTGCACAGTCTGTTGGTACGCGATCGACCTATGCGCGCCAGCGTTTCCTACAGGGACGTGGCCAGCGCGGAGTATCCGTGGACCAGCAGGCATAGTCTGGGGTGCATGCAGCGCTGCCACGTGGATCATTTGTTCATGGCCTACCATCGTACGGCCGCGCCATTTCTACTGCCCTACGACGCACACCTTGACGCCGCCCACTGGTGGGCATCTGGGTACACGAAGAATCTCCTTATGGCGGCCGTGGCACCAGCACACTGCAGCTACTACCGTGAAATAATGATTCTCGACGGTGGTCTGCAGATCCACGAAAAGGCATACGTGGGCGGGTACGATTTCAGGGCCTCTAAACAGCATGTTCTGAATTGCCTCAGAAGAGCACGTTGGAAAGGCTCTCTCCTCGATGACATTGTGGATAGTGTTAATTGGTGGCTCCGGGAGGAGCTGGCACCGCACGAGTTTCACGTCCCTTATGACAAACCCTGCGTCAGGAAAACTCAAGGAATAGATTACTCTCAAGTTTTAGGCACTAGAAGGACACGAACACTTCAGTGCGGTAACCTTACCATAAGCAATCACTGAAATGTATAAGAAAAGGAAGACAGATCTTAGGTTAACGGCCGTGACCAGAAGTGCACTGTTGATCGCGGTAAGTGTACTGAAAAGTTTTTAGGCTCAATGTTTTGTTCTTTGACCATCAGGGGGGAATGTTGAAGTTGTGTTGAAGCTGGTTATTTCATACTATTTTTTATAATTATTTCATCAAATTGGATTTCTTTGGATTCCGTATCTCGTTATCGTTATCTTCTCCTCTAGCCCTCTCGCTTAGGACGAGCTTTTTTATGGCAGCTTAAACGAAGGCTATATACCTGCTTTATGTAGGTTGATGCCAACGCGAGCAAGCAAAATAATAATAATAATAAATATATAAAAAAATGAATTTGAAGACACCACTGCAGCTGTACTTATGGTTGATGAAATATGGTGGTAAAGACACACCTGGCAATATGGCGGTAAACACACGCCTGCCCACACACGCTCTCTAAGCTGCACAGTTCTGGCACAGAGCTCTCCTTCTCACCACCACCACCATCAGTTCGCGCCTGGCGCCTCGTCGATGCATGGTTGGCGGTATCCGACATAGCAGGCTGGTACATCAAGTAGCGCATGGCACATAGAAGATGACACAGCAACGACATAGCTCGATTGCGACGTACGTTTCGTCCCCGCTGGACTCATCAGGCAATCTTCTTCTTGGATGTCTTCATACGGAGCTTAACTCAAGCTATGTCGTTGCTGTGTCATCTTCTATGTGCCATGCGCTACTTGATGTACCAGCCTGCTATGTCGGATACCGCCAACCATGCATCGACGAGGCGCCAGGCGCGAACTGATGGTGGTGGTGGTGAGAAGGAGAGCTCTGTGCCAGAACTGTGCAGCTTAGAGAGCGTGTGTGGGCAGGCGTGTGTTTACCGCCATATTGCCAGGTGTGTCTTTACCACCATATTTCATCACCATAAGTACAGCTGCAGTGGTGTCTTCAAATTCATTCTCCCGAGTTAAGCTCCGTATGAAGACATCCAAGAAGAAGATTGCCTGATGAGTCCAGCGGGGACGAAACGTACGTCGCAATCGAGCTATGTCGTTGCTGTGTCATCTTCTATGTGCCATGCGCTACTTGATGTACCAGCCTGCTATGTCGGATACCGCCAACCATGCATCGACGAGGCGCCAGGCGCGAACTGATGGTGGTGGTGGTGAGAAGGAGAGCTCTGTGCCAGAACTGTGCAGCTTAGAGAGCGTGTGTGGGCAGGCGTGTGTTTACCGCCATATTGCCAGGTGTGTCTTTACCACCATATTTCATCAACAATAAATATATACATGTATATATTGAGTTGAGAATTAATTTTGATTTGCCAGTAATCCTTCTGATGATATGGCCACGAAAACGTTCAAGGAACAAGCTTCTATACATGAAAACAAGTGTTGCTATTATAAATGGTGTTTGTACTGAGTACGCAGCTTACTCTATTTATTGCGTTAATTACATTTTTATCTCCATGTAAGCTTTTTAATAATAAATAAACAGTTTCCTCTGAGACAAAAATGCGATAATACTCATAAAAAGGACACACTTCAGGCTCATTACAAATATCTTGAAAGTTTTTGTCTTCACAAGTATACTTTCAAGCCTTCTCGTCAGGTGAAATACAGGCAAGGGAAAAGGAACAGGAACAGTGGATTAAATACAGTAAGAAGGTGGTAAAACAGCGCAAAAAAAGAAAGAAGATAGCTAAGTAAACAGCGAAAATTGCAATAATGATACAAAGGTGCAAATGCGAGAAAACTCAATACGCGTGACATGTAGTGCGACAACAAGACAACACGCACCGCTACACCTTATTCCACAACACGCACGATCCACTCGACCACGGAGGGGACGTCCAGCAAAGAATCATCCTGGTACAAGATGGTCCAACACAGCGGCATCAACACCAAGCAAAGTCACCTCACAATTAACTAGACCACCAGAAAAACAACCGGACAAGACACCTACTGGCGTGGCAGTGACAGGAACCGCATCAACCAGAAGAATGACAAGATCGGCAACGGCGGCGATGGCAGCGACTAAAGCACAGACAGAGGCAACGGCTAGGGTCCACTCGACTAGCCATGTGAAATCGGATGTGTCCACCGCACATGCTGATTGTTCTGATGTTAGTTCTGATAAGTATGAGTCGTCCATTGCTAGTCATTTGTTTGAGCATCCTGATTGTCGTGCTGTGTATTCAGATGATTGTTTTTCGATTGTGTCACGTGTACGCAGTGCTAGATTGCTGAATGTTTTGGAAGCTGTATACATCCACACAAAGAAACCCAACCTTTGCAAGCAGAAGCAAATCAAATTCACACTTAGGCTGTTAGGTAGGTCGTCAAAACCTCGTTAGTTACATGTATGTCCAGTGGTTGTCTCTTGTTGTCGCACTACATGTTACGCGTATTGAGTTTTCTCGCATTTGCACCTTTGTGTCATTATTGCAATTTTCGCTGTTTACTTTA